CTAGGCCAGTAAATTATATAATAAAATGAGTAAATTTAAAATATGTTGCGTACATTAAAAATTAAGTTTAAAAGTTTAGAAAATATAAAAAGTAATCAAATAAATTTAAAAAAAAATATATGTAAAATAAAAGGCAAGATAGAAAATGACAACATTTAACTATTAAAATTAAAGACAGAATGAAGTCAAATTAAAAGGACATTTTGAAATAATATATAAATATATACACTAATAGAAAAAACAAAAAGGGGACGAAGAACAAGAGTAAGGAAAAAATGCACACCATTAAATGGTGGTTCGAAAAGATGTAACAATAAAAATAAACGGTAAAAAAATACTTAACATGTTATCGATCCTCGCTCTTCAGAACCAATCGAGGACAAAGATATCTAAATATAAATTGAAAAGTCAAAAAAAAGGAAGAAAACATTCTACCAATGAATCAAAAGTATGAATCACAGACAGATTACATTGAGATCCAGTAGCCATTCGTTCTGCTTACAAAGGAAAGGCTGCTCAGATTTAATGTAAATTGTTTCAAGATTTCTTACATGGTAATCCGGATACGCTCTCCTGATTATGGTTGATTTTGTTTAGCAGCATATCAATATCAATATCAATATCTCCGTGGAATATCTCCGCATATCAATATCAATATCTCCGTGGAATATTTAATGCCGAAATCGAAATATTTTTAACACAATGTTATGGATTCAACTAAATATATTTTGTACATAATTTTATACTTTGAGAGTAAAGGTAAGTATTTTTTTTAAATATATATTTTGCAGATCATGAAATATACTGTCGGCAATTTCACTACAAAAATGTATTGTTGGTAATTTTATTATAAAAATGTATTTTTATATTTTTTTAGTTTTGCATTGATTGTCATTTTACTATAAAAATGTACTGTTGATTGGGGTTTCACTATTTGCCCATAGCTGGGACCCTAACAGGTGCTACCACACCGGGTTACGGTAGACTTAGAAGCAACAGCAACTAAGAGGTGGTTTTTTTATGCTTCTCAAAACCTCCCGTTCAGAGTCCTTCCTGCCCAAGATAGTTTATCGCCATACCCAGGACGGAAAAAAGAAAGAAAATTTTGTATATCGTTTCGATTTTGTAAATTACGTTTCGACAGTTTTTTTTTCCATTTATTAATATTTTTTATATTTTTTCTTTTAATTATTTTGTATTTACGGTGCTATGTGCGTGTCGACGTTAAATTTAAAAAGAAAAGAAAAAAATATTTATTGTAAAAATAGATTAAAATGACCAACAAAAGTCGGACGGTTAAAAAAGGCCTTTTTGGGTCCACGTCAAAAGCTGATCCCCCACCCGCCCCGGATGGGAGTGCGGGGCAAGGAAAAAGATTATTATTTGGATGGTTTACTGAAATAAAAGTCAGGGTTGACTTAGAAGCAACAAAAGTTAAGAGAATGTCCCAGGTTCCTCAAAACCTCCAATCTCCTAATCAGACGTCTTGCTGCCGGATATAGTTTAACGTCATACCAAGGACGCGCTGATTAGGGTGAAAAAAAAATGCATGTCCTCGGATAGATCTGAAGAGCGAAGATCAATAATCTGTTAACCCTCTTTTCATATTTCTTTTCTACTTCATATATTTTTTCGAACCACTAATTTATGTTCGGCCAGTACGAAGCCCAGCAATCAAACAAGGTAGAACGTTACGGGATGAGGTGTGTGTTAAGAGGAGGATGTGGGAAGGGAAAGATACGGGGATATGGTGTATAGATAAGTACTGATCTTCGAAGATGCTAGAATTACAGTGTTTGATGGAGCACAAACGTGAGAGATTTTTTTTCCACAAAGAAGCGGTTCTTGTGGAGAGGCTTCCGAGGTCAAAGGCGTTTTTTTTTTTCCAAATGGATTACATATCGGATGAGGGTGATTCAATAATGTCGGTGTAGCAAGGTGGGTCTAGGCAGTAAAGATTTTTGAGGGTATCACTAAAGAATGTGCCTTGTTGGGAAATTTGCGATGGAAGTGGACATAGAGAAGCAACAGGTTTGTGATTTTGCATCTCTGCGTAAGAGATTTGCAGAGTTGGAAATATGTCGTAAGTTCGTGAGTTGCTCCAGTTCATATACGGCAGTAAGGAGCTGACCGTTTTGCCACCATTTTATTGTGACGTAACGTCCCCAAAGTTCATTTTTCAGCCATTTTTTTTTTCATATATTAATATTTTTTGGTATTTTGTCGGACTTTTTTTTTTTGTTTTTCTTTTAATTATTTTCTAATTTTGGATGCTATATGCGTGTTGACGTTAAATTTAAAAATAAACGGAAAATATATATTCTAAAAATAGATTAAAATGACCGACAAAAACCCGAAGATTAAAAAAAAACCTTTTTGGGTCCACGTCAAAAGCTGGTCCACCAGATGTGAGTGCGGAGCAAGGAATAAATTATTATTCCGGTGATTTTCTGAAATCTAGCTCAAATAAAAATCACGGCTGAACTGGGAGCAACAACAGTTAAGAGGTGGCCCCTGGTTCCTCAAAACCTCCAATCTCCCAATCAAACGCCTTGCTGCCGGATGTAGTTTATCGTCATACCAAGGACGCGCTGATAACCGCATCATTGTTTCATTTGAATCGACGCCCAACATTATCATCACGGAACACCAAACAATGTGGCATATGAGCATCGAAAAACGTCGTGTATCGGGAAACGGTGATGTCTTGTTCAGGTATTATGATGAAGAATCGATCTGCGCCGCATTTATCCAAGGTCAATGGACAGAGAACTTAAACCGAAGAGTTCCCCTTGATCGCTGTTTTGTTTGTGAATGAAGCACAAAGAAACCAGCGATTTTAGAGCGATATATTTAATGCAAAGGCGTCAATAGAAAGCATCGAATAACTTATCTAACGAACATGGGTAAATCATTAGCAAAAGAGGTATTAGTAGAGATAACAAAAAGAACCTTACTAACAGCTACAAACGACATGAATTTGTAGAGAGCCGTTATCACACAAATCCTGAAGCGATACGGCACAGAAGAAGAAGAAGAAGAAGGGGGAGGAGGAGGGGGAGGAGGAGGGGGAGGAGGAGGCAAGTGGGGCAGATGAATGCAGAGGATAAGCTGTCTAATGGGTTTTGTGAAAATGACAGGAATTTGTTTACATTTTGATACGCATCGAGAAGATATGAATGTACGAGAGAAAATCAAGGACAATTGTTGATTAAAAACAGTAAAAGCGACCTTGCTAACTGAAACGCTCCTAAGTAGCTAAATCGGTAAAGGCACGTCAAGCTAGATGACGGTTCCGTGTAGGATACAGATTCGATTCCTGTCAGAGGACGCATATTTTCTATGAAAATTTCTCGGACATTCAGGCCGGTAAATGTTGTTAATACTGTTTATTATAAACAAAGCATTTACTTAAATATTTGTATCTATAAAAGAAAATATATAAACATAAAAATGTCTTAAAATAATTGTCGGACTTTGTCCACTTCATCATATATATATATATATATATATATATATATATATATATATAAAAACTGCATCCGGATCCACAATTATTTCCAGCAAATACCTCCTACAATAATTCGAAGCATAACCGTTAGAGCAATGCAACAGACTACCCACAATACATCACTGACCGAATAGTTGAGTAAGAACACAAGGCATATGGTCTGACGATTGTATATCAGCATGAAACAGACGATCAATGCTGGGTGTTGACTTTAATTTCCTTTTTACACACACACACACATATATATATATATATATATATATATATATATATATATATATATATATATAAAAAGGTGGGAAAAGAGCGACACAGAGAGACAGACGTTCAGCGAGAGCGAGTGAGGGGGAGATAGAGATGGGGGTGTACTTGTAGTCTAACGAATATCGGCGCATAAAAAGAAAACGGTGGGCCGAGCTCAAATTCCAAAGTAGTTAAGTTGTATGGTAGACGAGGCACTTTAGCCTTGCGTGGAAAAAAACTGTAATTTCCAAAACCGTGGAAAAGCCAATGGTAAATCGATTCACTGACTTCCACGGGAATGCATGGCGATTCACGTTAGCCGGCACCCGCTCGCATTCGGACATCAGGATCGTCATCCCCTCTACTTATTTATTCTTTTTCTCCCCTCTGGTGGCGCTGCTAGAGATGGCTGTGAAGTACCCAGCCTACTCCTGAAGAGATTTTGACGAGGCCATTCGCGCGAACTTGATTTTGATGGACAACACTGCGCGGCGGAGAAGCCCACAAACTTGGCCAGAAGCGCCTCCCTCGCGGCTCACTATGGCAATTCACAAATCGTAAGGTGAAAACAATATCTGTGGAGAGTCATGATTGCTTGCTTTAAATTTCTGTTAAACGCTATTCATAACTACACATAAACGGGCTATGATAGGTCGGTAGGGCTCGACTGTTAATAAATACGCGTAAACAAATGTTGATAGCGCGATAGATTGCTGTTAGGAAGAGACGTACGTAAACACACGCTGATGTTTCGATAGATAGACATAAAAAGTAGTCATCCATCAATCGAACCTTCTTACTTATCGTTCTGTATTAAATCTTTGACGTGTGAAGCGCAGAATACTATCTATTTATTTTCGATCGACCCCATCTGAATAATGATCGACATTTGTTCGCTTTCCGTCCAAGGGCAAAGTGATGGGAAAACAAGATTTGTTTCCATCTTCTGATCTTTATCAAACGCTTCTGCTGCCACAAATCATCTCATTCTGAATTATCAGGGATCGGCAAACAATGTCACTATGTAAGCTTGAGTGCTTCCTAAAAAATCGTTTCACACCAAATACTAAATTGTAACTTTGTCTGCCGTATTCTATTTTATTTTTTGTCTTCGGTTTTCTTTTTGAGCTGGGCATCTAGGCGTATGGAATTGAGACTAAAGCTATTTTTAAGTTGCCTGCTAGATTGTAAATCTATCCACGTGTATGGAATGGTTGACGGTCGTAGGCGTTTGGCGGGAAAGTATCTAAATAATTATATGTCCGAAGTAGATAGATAGATAGATAGATAGATAGATAGATAGATAGATACTATCTTTGAACGTATTAAAACAGGTTTGAACTGAGATAGACGAAAAAAGTACAGTCAGATAGATAGATAGATAGATAGATAGATAGATAGGGAGACAGAGAGAGAGAGATTATATCTTTGAACAGAATAAAACAGGTCTGAACTGATAGAGAGAAAAAAGGATAGATAGATAGATAGATAGATAGATAGATAGATAGATAATATCTTTGAACATATTAAAACATGTGTGAACTGAGACAGAAAAAGACAGTCAGATAGATAGATAGATAGATAGATAGATAGATAATGTCTTTGAACAGATTAAAACAGGTGTGAACTGAGATAGAAAAAAGTGTAATAACTTTGAAATCATTCAGATAGATTTGAGACAGGCATGTAGATAGATAGATAGATACATACATACATACATACATACATACATACATACATACATACATACCATATATACATACATATGAAGAGACTAAAGTAGAACAAAAATAAAATATCACCGCCATATCTGTGCTAGAGCTGTTCAATCCTAACTTTCAATGCTTGAGACCACAAACATTGATGCGGTCTTGTGAGGAAATACTTATTTCCACTCTGCAACCACATTCCAACAGACACAGCCTTACAAGCCTATCGATACTCTATCGGTAATTCTATGGCAAATTTTCGGACGAACTTCATTCTTTTATTCCATCAGTTAAGAATTCAAGATTAGATCACGTCGTCAAATCATTTTCATTTTCTCTGTAGCCCAATTGTAAGGAGAAAATTCCTCACATACAGCATTTTCTCAAGAGCTCCTACTTGAGTGCTTCCTTGAATCCTATTATATTAACCTAAGAGTTTTCGTCAATCGTTATCTATCATCCTTAGTCTCATAATCTTCAGTTACTATCATTTCCTGTTCATTATTTGTAATTCCAACTCTAAAAGCCTTAATACAAAACAAAATAGTAAAATGAAGGTGAAATTTAAAAGAATACATGTTGGAAGTTTTATATACATATTTTATATAAAGCAGGATGTTGAATTAATATATATTATATATATGACTTTTTCTAATAGAGTTACATAAAAGCCTCTTTCTAATAGAATTATATAAAAGCCACTTTATAATAGAATTATATAAAAGCCTTTTTCTAATAGAATTATATAAAAAGCCACTTTCGGATAGAATTATATAAAAGCCACTTTCTAATAGAATTATATAAAAGCCTCTTTCTAATAGAATTATATAAAATGCACTTTCAAATAGAATTATATAAAAGCCTCTTTCTAATAGAATTATATAAAAGGCACTTTCAAATAGAATTATATAAAAGCCTCTTTCTAATAGAATTATATAAAAGCCACTTTATCATATAATTATATAAAAGCCACTTTCTAATAGAATTATATAAAAACCTCTTTCTAATAGAATTATATAAAAGCCACTTTATCATATAATTATATAAAAGCCACTTTATAATAGAATTATATAAAAGCCTCTTTCTAATAGAATTATATAAAAGCCACTTTCTAATAGAATTATATAAAAGCCTCTTTCTAATAGAATTATATAAAAATCACTTTATCATATAATTATATAAAAGCCACTTTATAATAGAATTATATAAAAGCCACTTTATAATAGAATTATATAAAAAGCCACTTTCTGATAGAATTATATAAAAGCCTCTTTCTAATAGAATTATATAAAAGGCACTTTCAAATAGAATTATATAAAAGCCACTTTCTAATAGAATTATATAAAAGGCACTTTCAAATAGAATTATATAAAACCTCTTTTCTAATAGAATTATATAAAAGCCACTTTATCATATAATTATATAAAAGCCACTTTATAATAGAATTATATAAAAAACCTCTTTCTAATAGAATTATATAAAAAGCCACTTTATCATATAATTATATAAAAGCCACTTTTATAATAGAATTATATAAAAGCCTCTTTCTAATAGAATTATATAAAAGCCACTTTATCATATAATTATATAAAAGCCACTTTATAATAGAATTATATAAAAAGCCACTTTATAATAGAATTATATAAAAAGCCAATTTCTGATAGAATTATATAAAATCCACTTTCTAATGGAATTATATAAAAACCTCTTTCTAATAGAATTATATAAATGCCACTTTCTGATAGAATTATATAAATGCCTCTCTGTATTAGACTTATATAAATCAGTCATTCAATTATATGCCATACGTGATACACGCTTAGGCGTTCTTATATCTTTCGATACATGACTGACGAGGTAGACTTTTTTACCGCAATAGGTTTTCATTTCTTTCTGCGGTAGATCATTTGCCATCCAAGGCAACCCGGTGTATTCTGCTATCTATCGATAGCTGGAGGAAGAAGAAGAGGATTCATACCTTTTCCGAGCAAGGGTAAATGAATGAAACGGATTCGACTGGAATTCGAACTCGGCTCTCGGATTCACCAGTCCGAGTCGCTATCCATTACTCCTGCATTATCCATTACGCATCCTCTTATATAAGTACCTATTTATAATATAATCATGTAAAAGCCCGTTTACATTATAATTATATAAAAGCTTCTTTATGATAGAATTATATAAATACCACTTTATAACAAATTTTATAATATAATGTACATAATATAATTATATAAAAGCCTCTTTATGATAGATTATATGAAAACCTCTTTATAAAGCAATTATATAAAGGCAACTTTATAGAATTATATAAATGTCACTTTATAATAGAATTTTATAAATGCCACTTTATAACTGAATTATATAAAAAAACTCTTTCATTTAGACATATATAAATGCCTCTTTCTAATATAAATTATATAAAAGCCTCTTTATAATAGAATTATATAAAAACTTCTTTATAATTCAAATATAAATGCCTCTTTATAATAGAATTATATAACTGCCACTTTATAATATAATTACGTAAGAGCCTCTTTAAAATATAATTATTTAATAACTTCCCAATAATATAATTATATAAAAACCTCTTTCTAAAAGAATTATATAAAAGCCAATTTGTGATAGAATTATATAAAACCTCTTTCTATTAGACTTATATAAATGCCACTTTCTAATATAATTAAATAAAACCCTCATTATAAAATAATTATATAAGAGCCTCTTTATAATATAATTATATAAAAACCTCGTTTTAATAGAATTGCATAAAAAAACTGTGTAATGAAATTATATATAAGCCACTTTCAAGTATTATTATATATAAGCCACTTTTGAAGGAATCGATAGATTTTTATTCACTATTTAAACAGATTTATTACTTAAATGTTAATTTTAATGGATGCCCTTATTTGAGTTGACGTTCCGTTTATTCATCAAACGGAATATTTATTTCATTTCGTATAACGGTCTGAATATGCGACAAATCTTATAAACGAAAAATATGCTATCTCCAGCAGCACTCGAACCTGCGTTCTATTTAGACCGTCTTGTGCACGAAATGTGCCAATGATCAACTTGGATAATGCCTTTAAACTCAATTTTTTTTCCTCACTCTCAAAATATACATATCCGCTCAGTTTTATATATATATATATATATATATATACGCTCAGTTATATATATATATATATATATATATATATATATATATATATATATATATATATATATATATACAAATATTTTTTCAGCCTCTATGAATATACATATCCGCACAGGTTTGTATCCTAACGTAAGGAAAGAAATTTCTCAAGAACTGATGCACTGTTATTTATTAATCCCACAAATCTTATTCCTTAAACATTATTCTTATTGGATACCCGTATTTGCGTAGACGTTCGGTTTATTTATTAAGCAGTATATTTATTTTTCCCGTCCTGTATATGACGATAAACTACATCCGCGTCCTGGGTAAGACGATAAACTACATCCAACATCAAGGCCTCTGATCAGGAGATTTTGAGAAGCGTGGGACAACCTCTAATTGTTGGTGTTTTCACGTCCAACCTGACCCGGGATGGTAGTACCTGCTACGATCCCAGCTATGATAAATAGCTAATCCCCAAACTGGGGTTAAAGCACATTAAAGGTGTAAAAATAAGTCTTAATACCAGAAATACTTTCTAAAAAAAAATATTACCAGCAATACATTTTAAACAAAAAAAAAAAATATTGCCAGCAATACTTTTTTGAAAAAAAGAAAAATCTATTACATTGAAAAAAAAAACTCAAATTTTTTTGAAAAAAATAATAACCAGAAGGAGATTTTTTTGAAGGAAACATATTATCAGCAATACATGTTTGAAAAAAAAAATTACCAATAATTTAAAATTGTCAGCATTAAATAACATATTGGGGTTGATATACCGTAAAACAAACCAAACCAAACAATTATTTATTTTCGTCTACCGACCTGAATATATAGAGGTCTTATTAGAGAAAAATATGCGCTCTCCGACAGGATTCGATCCTGGGTTCAACTTTGTTGGAGAAACCAATGTGATTAAATCCAATGTGATTTTGGACATCCCGACCTCAAAGTGCGTCGGGAATCAAGCAAAAACACGTGTGAGCACCCCTCGTAGAAAGAGTAAAACATCTTTCGCAAAATCCCTCTCTAAAAGAATTAATGTCATTAACGCATTTTTGTTAAGCATAAAAACAGACATAGAAATAAAAAAGCGGAAAGCTTTAACGACGATATAATAGTACCCCAAAACAAAGAGAAAATGAAGAACCAGTACCCCTTTTCATTACCTAAATGTCGACCTAAATAAAGCAGACATTTATTATTTTCACTATGTACACTGTTCGGAACATTGTCCTCATCTTTATCGCCATATTGACACCGTTTCGACCACTGTATGCTCCGGCCTTCTTCAGGTGATATACGTTGGAATTTCGACGAACCCTTTATTTCGCCCACCTTAGTAGATTTTCTAGGTCAACTTGCCATGCCTTTTCTGGATATCTCAGTTTCAGTTATTTCCCTTTAGTAACTCCCGATATGTAAAGTAATCGGTCCTGACTTGGGATCTTGACTCCAGTCACTTTCTCACAGACGTGATGTGGCTTCCCTCTGTCTTTTCTCCGAATCGTTTCATGACAACTTCTCTGACGGGCTATTTTCACTGGTGCCCCGACTGCATGAATTTAAGCGTGCTCCTAGGCTAGCATATTGGTCCTACCCTTTCACTGTCGAAAGACTTAAAGGAAACCGCCTCTTCTACTCCAACGGCTTCCTGTTTCGCACTTCCCGACAGTGTAACTCCCTTCCTCTTAGTTGCTTCCCTGCTAACTATAATCTTCAAGAATTTCAATTTCTGAT